ATAAAATATGTGCAAAAAGATAATTTTCGTCGACACAGTTGCACAAATAACCGTGATGGTTCCACTTCGCCTTGCATTTATATTCCAGCGCTGTATGAGGTGATATAGCCCTCAAAAAGAAATCAGTAATGTGGTACCTATGTCTAAAACTCCAGAGGACTAGCATGTGAAGTTCTTGAATGAATGTGAGGGTCCGTGGTCCAGATGTGTGCATTGATAAGAGAGAAGGCTTGTCGAGCGCCGGAACAGTTTGCTTATTATTCTAAGCTTTCGAACTCGTGTACAGAGTAGAACTCAATCAATCGATTTATCGACTTGACGCCGGCGTAGAAAGTCTCATGCCGTCACCTTCAGACTTGTGTCATTCATAATTGATGGACCTGCATTTCCTATAATTGTCACCTTTTTGTTGCTATTGCTATCTCTGCCACTGAACTATTGTACCAGTTCGAAAGCTCAGAATGATAAAAAAAACTGTTCCGGAGCTCGACCAGTCTTCTCTTGTACTCATGAGAAGTTCTGTTAGGCTCATCAGCTACTTGCATGCAAATTAAATATCAGGTCAGCTGAACAGTCAATTTTTTTAGGGGCTTACCCACTGCTGCGCGTTTTCGGGAGCATTAAGGTCACCCGAACTTGCGGATGTACCTCTCCGATCACAGACAATCATCTGCCGGGATGAAGTCGAATACCACCTTGATATAGACTTGGCCACCTGCATCATCAACCATGAACTCACATAAGCGTGCCTATCGCGTGGTGTTGAGGCTATTACAGGTCAAACCCTAACGTCTGCGATCTTCCAGGCCAGGTTCCTTAGCAGAGGAGAGAATTCATGGGAAGGCCAGAGTAGTAGGAAGAATATATTATTACACAGAATGAATTGGAGAAGAGTTAGTAGGAAGTGTGACTCGCGGGCTAGTGCATCCGTTCCCTTGTCGTGTCGGGTCCAGAGTATGGTCTAGCGGCAGTAATCCGGGCGGCCATCAAAGGCTGTCTGTCTCGGTCGGCCTTGACTGTCATTGGTCAGACCGCGACATCGCGTCTTAGTAAGTCGCGCCAGACATTGAGCGAGAGATGGCCAGGGTGCGGGCAGTCAGCGTAACTGCAACCTTGTCGTGATGAGTCAGCGATGACGGGTTCCAACAATGGCGCTAACGCCCACTACATGCCTTCGTACCGAGTGCAATGACAAGTTTTGGAAATAACTGGCAACGATACGCGTCAACTTTATGACTTACTCGGAAATTTCCGACTGGAAACACTATCAGAACTACCATTGCTGCCTGGCCTTGTGTGGCTGACTTATTACGGCAACTGGTCCAGAAATATTAATTATTTAAGTATCATAATGTTTGGCGTGCAATAATTGACATGTGAAATACAACCAATGGGAAACAAGAAATACGCAAAAGCACCCGCGAATTGGATGCATGCCTATATCGACTTTATATCGAAAGGTGGAGGTTAAGGTAAAACCACGAAAGATAGGCTTTTCTTCCATTATTTTAAAACTCTCAATTGCTACTAATGCATTTGGGCAGACATTGTAGCACGATAAACTGAAAAACGTCGCTTGTCCCTTAAAAAATCAAAATTTATTAAAAATTAAGCAAACTTAAAGTATAAATAAAATAAAACGAATAAACTAAATAATAAACTGAAAAGTAAACTAAGGTAAAACTAGTAAAACTAAAGGCAACCACAGGAAGTTAAAAATTTCCGTGTTGGGGGGTGCAGTAATAAGTATAACTACACCTACTAAAATGCATATAGTAGTCACTTAAGTATAGTCGTCTAAGGTTGATGGGCAACTAGATTGTTACCTTCATTTCCTCCTCCTTTGTCGCAATTCGGGATATTTTTTTAGGAAAAAATCGAGGAAATGCGCACAAACGAAGAACGACTACAGCTGCACAACACGGAATTGACTACACAAAACAAGAATCTGCTGGAGCCATTAACACGGATAAAACAGGAAAATGCTGACTTGAAACGAGCCCTGGAGAATCACGAGCGTGACGTTCGCGCACTAAAGGTAAGTTAGCGCAAAAGAATTCCCTTTTCTGATTGGTTGATTTTTTGATTTTCACTTAGGATGCAGAGCATTTATGCTCTATCCACCTCCGGGGATCCCTTTTCTTTCATTTTGTACGCGATTGTCGTGCTAAATCGAAAGTTAATTGACATTTTACTTGGTCTATACTCCCCTGCAGATAACGAAGGATCAACTGAAGAAGACAAAGCAGAGCTTAAAAGATCTGCAGTTTGAATTCGAAGTTGTCAGTCAGCGTCTCCAATTCGTGAGTGTAACACCGAGTTTTTCGTCCTCATTTTCCACCCTTTATTTGCTTAATAAGGAGCCCTGCATAAATGAACTGAAATTAATGGACAACAGTGTTGATTCAAGTCGATACGTACAGTGGAACGTCGATTAACGAGATTAATGTGTTTCAACACCGAGCTAGTCATGTGAAAAACTCGTTTTGCGAAACCTGGCCAATCAAACTACATCAGTTCACTGATTGGCTGCAGCCGACCGCGCACACATGCCCTGGAAGCAAGACTTAACTGCTGACATAGGCACACACACAAACTGAAAGCTCGTTAACTGAGCGGAAGCTTGTCAATCGAAACAAATGTTCTGCTAGTGGCTCGCTCTTTGCCTGAAATGCTCGTACATGGGACTGCTCATCACCAAAGGCTCCACGGCATTTCATTTATGTTCTTGTTATTATCTGCACCCGGTACTTGTAATTAACACGAAATATGGCCTTGCCCGACTGTTGTTTCTAAAGCCAGCAGTGAAGAGGAAGAGAAGACAGTTGACCACGAGGAGAGCTGTATCCCAAAAAATGGCAGGTCATTCTCACAAAACGACTGTATATATTTATTGATCCGCTGGAGGAGAAAGTGTCGGAGACATGGACCAATCAGGTCTGACGAAGGATCGATATTCACGGTCCAGCTGCGCGTTCTCATGGCAGACAGGCAGCCTGCCATAAGAACGCCGACGCCTTTCCTTGCAATGACTCATCGTGGGAATGGAGGCATCCCCAACCGGCATTAAGCCCAGTCGAGAC